AAAAAATGTTGAGATCTGATGCATCTTCATTTATATTTGCGTAACTTTATGAAATATGAGTAATACGGTTTTTTAAAGTACAGGTTTCAAAAGTAGAGATTTCAAGCTTTAGAATGCTTTTTTAAAAATCTCGATACGATGATTTTTGACGAAGTTATTCTATCTCGGAATTTACCTATTTTTGCAGGGTGGAACAAGTGATCCTTTAATTTTGTTGAGTAGTGTATATATAACATATCTGTATAATATATATTATATATATATTATATATATACATAAAGTATACGACTCAATTTTTTGTAAATAATTATAATATAGTGTTATTTTTTACTCTCTTCCATCAATTAGAGTAAAATTTATTTAACCACACTTTTTTTTGCTTTTATTTATTAATACTGAGTTATTTAATGTCACAAATTAGACTTTTTTTAAAGGAGAACATATTAAATAAAAAACAAAATCAATTTTAGTATTTTATGTTATTTTCTTTGAGCTGTTTAAAAATTAAATTTGCTATGTTAAAACTAACATATAGTATTCTTTGTTATTTTTCTAGTGTATATTTCCAACTAGAAAAACAATACGCACCGTCGAAAGCACGTCATGGGCGCAAGGGTACACGATGATCACTGATTGCGTTCTTTGTCTTGTAATTGTCATCACAACATCACTTGATGCTTAATAAGAACGAATTTATGTTGTAACTACGCGTGTCTGTTTGTACGTTTCCACTTGGTTTATGGCTAATTAGCTAAGAGCTAAGTCATGGCGTCACGAGATTATTTTACTTCGCGCAATATGACCTCGGCGTTATGGTAGTCGGATCTTTAAAAGACTTTATGGCGAATGGCGGAATTTTCCATAAAAATTTATACGAGAAATCCACGTATTACGGGGGTAAAACACGAGACATTTCACGCGTACGAACATTTACGTCATGCATGATACGCTGTATTTATTATCTCACTCATTATTTGTTAAGATAAAAGAATTACACATGTGACATGTAAAACAAATTGAATCTCAAATTACCTTAATTAATCTTTCTCTTATATTGATATCTTAATTTTTTTATTTATTGATTATAAGGATGGCGCATAAAGTGTCATACCATTTAATTATCTCATTCAAATTACATGTGCAATATCGATTTTTTAATTGTAATCAAATACTATATACTTCGTGAAAATTCTGTTAGGTCCAGTTCCACAAATGTACTATTATTTCGGTTCAATTTCTCTCTTCACCAATTTTGAAATTAGAAAAAAATAAAGAGTAAAACCGGTGGCTTGTTTTCCTGCTAGATCGCATGCAAGCCGTTATGCTAGCTGTGCTGCCTACGCTGCTAGAAACATGGCGTATTGCGTGCTGCCATGCGTGCTAGCATGCTAGTTTTCAATGATAGATTCGGTGTTATTTTTCTGACGAGATTTGCTGCTAGGTAGGTAAAGAATTTAGATTAGGACATACACAGAAGGTATTATTAAAAAAAAGATAATATTTAACGTATGTTTTACGTAGTAATATTAATAAACACATAAAAAAGTAAGAATAAATACATAGAAAAAATGAAAGCTGTTATTAGAAGACGAAGGCTAGCTGCGCTTGCTCTCCTTTTAATAGCAGCTAGAGAATAGGAGCAAAAAAAGAAAAAAAGTTATACAATAAAATATATATGAAGCAATAGAATATACAATAGAATATATACAAACATCAAACTAACTCACAAGTGAATTAACACGTGTGAAGCCATGACTAGCAGCGCTTCCATCACAGCAGTACGCAACGCAGACCACAAAGAAGCACGCAACGAATCTATCAGCTAAACCAGCAAGAAAACAAACATCGCGTGCCGTAGGCTTAAGTTGTACCGAGATTAAAGTTAATCTTATATTAGGTGTACAACTTTGCTTCCGCCGTTTTTTTCCGAAATTCGAGGCTTTATTGTAAAAAACTGGTTATACATTTATGATTCAAAGTATTGTCCATTGCTGGCCACTACTTTTTCCCATCTTTCGGGCAGCGTACGAATCCCGCTTCGAAAAAACTGGTCTTTTGAGGCGATCCACGAATCGATCCAATTTTTTACTTCTTCATAAGACCGGAAGTGCTGGTCAGCCAGGCCGTGTGCCATTGATCGAAACAAGTGATAGTCAGAGGGAGCAACGTCTGGAGAATATGGCGGGTGGGGTAGGACTTCCTATTTCAACGTTTCCAAGTATGTCTTGCCCACTTTCGCAACATGGAGTCGAGCATTGTCATGCTGCAAAATCACTTTATCGTATCTCTCGTTGTATTGCGGCCGTTTGTCTTTCAGTGCTCGGCATCAATTGCGTCGATACCGATCGCCTGTGATTGTTTCAGTCGGTTTTAACAGCTCATAATACACTACGCCGAGCTGGTCCCACCAAATACAGAGCATGACCTTGGAGCCGTGAATATTCGGTTTGGCCGTCGACGTGGAAGCACGGCCGGGAACTCCCCATGATTTTCTGCGCTTGGGGTTATCGTAATGAACCTATTTTTCGTCCCCAGTCACAATGCGATGCAGAAATCCCTTTCGTCTTTGCCTTTCACAAGCAGCTGTTCACAAGCAAACAAACGCCGTTCAACATCTCTCGGCTTCAACTCATACAGCACCCAATTTCCTTGCTTCTGAATCATTCCCATGGCTTTGAGACGTTTTGAAATGGCTTGTTGAGTCACTCCCAATGATCGTGCCAATTCTTCTTGATTTTGACACGAGTCTTGATCAAGTAATGCCTCCAATTCTGCATCTTCGAAAACCTTCTCTCTTCCACCGCTATGCCAGTCTTCGATGTCAAAATCACCGTTCTTGAAGCGTTGAAACCACTCACGACACGTTGTTTCACTAATAGCGGGCTCACCATAAGTATTTGAGAGCATTCGATGAGCCTCAGCCGTAGATTTCTTCATATTGAAGCAGAAAATTAAAATCTCCCGCAAATGACGAGAATTTGGCTCGTAAATTAACATTTTCAATCGAGAATAACTTTATGATGCAGACACAAATCGACTAATGTTTCTATGGGGTTATGTTGACAGATGCCCAAGTTTATTGTATGACGTCTATGATCTATTTATTTCGACCACCACTTACCGCTAAAGCCATCTATAGGAAAACGGCGGAAGCAAAGTTGTACAACTAATATTTATGGAATCGGGTTTTAGGTATGGTATAGATTACAAATCAAAATTGGGCGGAGTTGAAGGCGTATACATCGGTTTGTGAAATGAAGGACATCGGAAAATTGATTTAAAACGTTAAATATAAAGTAAAAGTTGTACCGTTCTTATGGAAACAAAAAATGTGGCAAAAACTCAAAAACATTCATGCCGATCATATGCTATTATGCCATTCATTATCTGAAAATTTGTGTCAAAAAATGATCAAAACATAACATAACATTATATTTATATTTTTTGACCGTATATTTGAGAAACTCAATTAATACTAGAAATTTAACTGTCTATTACGGTCGGAGCTGGATCTTCGTTGCTTTTTAATAATTCAATCTTGAATTACTAATATATACTATATATGTACTTGCATATATACCATATTGT